CACATTTGGGACTAACAGGGGTTTACTAGAATCCCACCACTCCACCACAGAGTCACCGCAGTAGACGTGAGATGAGCGCTGTCGCTCCGCGGCACTTGTTAGGTAATTTACTGTGGATAGCAAGTAGTATAACTATAACTATAAGTGCGTAAATGACGCATGAAAATACGCAGAACTTATATTCTTTAGCCGGCCAGCTAGAAATTCACATTTAAATCACTATAGAATAAATATAACAATGTTTTAACATGACAAAATTGGCCCCAACGCAAACGATTGCATGACCAAAACACACATCCATATTTGAATTAAAACTATTGTAGGCGCCCTGCATTTTTCCATGGAGGTGTGGATGTTCTTCCACCACCAGCAGGCAGCACCACCACATAGGTTGGTTTTGAGCTATTTAGTATGTAGCTGTAAGGAGAAGGGACCTAATCCTAGTTTAGTACTCCGAATTAGTTTATCACATATATGCGAAGACACATATTAATTTGTGGGGTCCCAAACTAGGATTATGTGACAAGTCAACTGCTTAGTGATGACATTTTGATTAAAACCCAACTAGATATACATAATCGTTACAGTAATACATTGGCAAGTGATTGAACACAATAATTTATTTAATTGCCGCCCCTCCCCGAAGGCACCGTCCATCTTCCCTGGAAAATTGGAGTACCACCATGGATGTGTGTTTTGGTCATGCAATCATTTTCCAATTTGGTCATGTGGCTCAAGGATAGAGAGCATGTCCAGTAATAATCACCGTCCTGGACATCATCTCTATCCTTGAACCGGTCAGGTTATAGTGGTTTAAATGTACCAAGATAGATACCAGAGTGAAATTCAACAAAGCTTTTTTATAGAAATGGATCCGTTATAGACAATGGATAACTTTATCAATAATACAATCTTCAATCATACATGATTATACTATTATATTTAGATACATGCGGATACATCATACAATGTATTGTATATCTGTTTCTATATCTAAGACGAGTTATTTCATTAGGTCAACAGTCTCAACACATTGTCCTAGACTCCTAGATCTTATGGTTAATTTGTCTATAGACAGATATATACTAACAAATACTAGTAGTAACTGTACATTTATGGTGCTTTATTCAACATTTGCAGAAAGGGTTGTGGAGCCAAATAGAAAATCGTATCCATACTATCATCGGAAGTTCAAACGGGTTCCAAACATTGACACGTGCGACGTTGGGGACTATGTCTGCTTTGTTGAGGCACATGAACAGTTCAGAAGAGACAAGTATGTATTTAATTTATTTAAAGGCATAATTCGACCATTGATTATGCAATTTTAACGAATGCTACAGTAACTGGCACCTTGTGTAGTTAATAAGTACATTACCTTATAGCCAAACGCGTATTAGTTTGTCCAATATCACTGCTGGTTACTAAGAAATATCCAATTGAAATCCGCGGTCAAATAAATCCGTTGTTGACAGTTTCAACCCGCTATGCCGGCCGTAACCGGCCGTAACCGGCGAGGCGGTGTCATACAGATTATAGTGCACCGGACATTTTCGCACGTATGCTCGGCCGTCAGTGATTTCGATCCTTGTAGTCTGAGTGCGCATTCCGTACGTTATGGTTTTACTCTTGGGATTCGGGAATAAATGAATATACGAAGTTCTTGAGATTACAAGCAACATATAATATGTGGCAACTAGGCAAATAATAACACTAGGCAAACAATTTACCCGGGACAAACAATTCGATGCTCAACATCCTGTAGCAACATGTGACGTCACCGAACCGAACTCGATGTTTATTTTGTTGGCAATAAATTTAGCGTTGTCGCCAGATTACCAAATTTACGGATTTCAATTAGACATTTCTTAGTAATTAGCAGTGATATTGGACAAACTAATACGCGTTTGGCTATAAGGTAATGTACTTATTAACTACACAAGGTGCCAGTTACTGTAGCATTCGTCAACTTTGCATAATCGATGGTCGAATTATGCCTTTAAGTTGATAAAATATAGGACACAGCATTTCATTTTACTTGGAAAAATTCGTTTACTAGTTAGTTTAGTTTTGAGTTTATTTATAAGTGTTTAGTTCATCAGGTATTTTATTCCAGTGTTATGTTGATGTTTAGGTTGGTTGAGAGTGAAATCTTGGCTATACTAAGGCAAAGGAGAGAAGCATGTATTGCATACGAAGGAGCCGACTGGAAGAAAAAGTGCCAGCAAGTTATGGATGATTACACCAATGCAGAAACTAACTGGTTCATTAAGTGTAAGTCTACTGGTCTACTGGTCAGTGTTGTAAAAATCATGCAGGCAGATACTACATCTACATTCAACATTCACATGCAGAATTCACATGTTACTTTTATAATACATGTGGCAGTATGAAGGTAGGTAACATGATCAGTTATCATACTGTGTTTAATATGGCACCCAATAAAATCTTTATTTATTATATCATATTATACAAATCAATTCAATGTCAAATGTGCCATTTTCATAGCCATGAGAATCATTTCTTTTTTATTTGAAGCACAAGTTATTTCCTCATTTGTAGAATTTTTCAGTGTTTACAGCCAAGTGACAATTTAAAAGGTTTTTGTCAAAATGAATTTTTCTTTGTTACATTTTTAGATGGAGATTTGGGGGCGTACGGTAATGTCAAGGATGCATACATGAAACAGAAACATCGACTAATCTGGCAGAGACGTCATCCAGAGATTGAGGATTAGTAATTCGTGATTTCTAGTAGACATATGGCAGGCAGGTGACTCTGCACTGTAGTTTTCTCAATAGGCTGGTTGGTTCTTTGGCTGTTGCTGTAGCTATGTCTAGGTATGAGCAATGAAACCGAGCAGGTTTTGTTCAGTGTTATGTTGCAATACCAGTGAGGTCATACACCATTCTTGGGTTTAAGAAACCTTAGAGTTAAAAATCAGCTGCTCATAATGCTGATTTCTTCGTAGATATAAGTTACAGGATGCCCGATTGCATAGGCACACTACCATTGTAATTTCTTATGTTTGCGTAGGCACACTATCATCAGAGTTTTTTCTCCATTATTTATGTTAAATTTTTCTTTAGTTAAGGCTGTTACAACAATGCACGATGCTAGACTATGTCACTCACAACACAAGAATTCAAATTCTTAGCTGTGTAACCTTCCCATAGTCTCCTGCAATATTTACAGTTAACGTTGTTATGATATGTTGATTAAATAATAAAAAATTACATGATATAATCATTATAATGTTACAGCATTTATGCTTAAGAGTAAAAATCTCCCCGGTGCAATATATAAATGATATAATTTTAACAGTTATATATAAACCGATAGATAGCCCAAACTATCCAACAAAAAGCAACAGTTTACAATTTTATTAAAAGCTTGTGGGCAAGAGAGTGACACTAGTTAATATATATCTACCATGTTCATACACATAAACAAACATATAACACTTCAAAAGTTATAGCTAGTACAAAGTGACTGTTTAGTAATTTTTACAAAGAAATGTGTTTTCATTAACAGAATTCTTGTTAAATTTAAACATGAAAAAACATTACAAACATGCTGCTATTACATTTTACTATGGCCCAAACCTCCAGTATTGGTGTTTATCAGCAGCAGCAATGGTCTGGTCCTCTTCAACATTTGATTAAAAATGCATAATATCATACTATCACAGCCAAGCATAAAAATACCAAACCATGTAAATGCTTTCAAATTCAATGCCATGCGATTGTGAGCGATTGATTTTTGCTAGTAAATTTGATTTTTGTTCAACTTTGCATAACTTCTAGATCAATAAAATATTGAGGTTTACATTTATATATCACCCCATCAGATCAGCTTCATCTCTGACACATATGGACAAAACTATATGAAAATACTAAATTATTCTCATGGGTTATACCCTTTACTGAAATATTACACTTTCCCTTGCATTATATATATATATATATATATATATATATATATATACATAATCATTTATTGATTTATTTAGTATATATCTGCTTTGGTGGAAGGTGCTGTGCACAATTACTTGCACAAAAATAGCATTGAAAAATAACTTCTACCAAACCTTTCCATGGTGCCCATATAGGATATAAAAGAACAGTTCACATCAAATATAATCAAACACTATGATGGTCGTCATCTTGCATGGATGAAAAATATATAAATTATTAGAGTTCTGTTTGAAATACAACATGAGCATTGGCATAAATGTTATACAAGTAACGAAGTTCATCGGGTATCAGCTGGAGGAAAGGTTTCACATTCCATAATACTCCAGTGGACAGAAGTCTCTGACCTTGGGTGCATTTCCTTCACTAAACAGTAATATCAAGAGCGTATAAAGAAGGAAAGCGTACAACGGTGAAATGCTGAAACCATGTTGCAGTATTAGTCTAATTAATAAACTTTCCCCGTTTTATTTTGACGATTCTTTGAAGTATTATCAGTGAAAATCTGGTATTTTCGCCAAAAAACAACTCGAGATCAGTTTTACTGCGACTGTCTCTCGTTTTGTGGACTGAACGTTGCTTCCGGTCGCCAATGTGTAGCGCTGACTCGATACGTTATTACTACAGCGTTACTACATCCAGCGTAAGGGGTGGGTCATCACCATGGCGATAAATAACAAGACGTTTTTGTGGAGTAATGGCTGCGTCAATGACAGGAAATGCGAGAAAAGATAGTAGAAGGAAAGGAAATTTCATTGTCAATGAATGACGGAAACACGCGAGGTTTCCCGAAGCTATCGCCAGAACGAGAGACAGTCGCAGCCACTACGTATCTCGAGTCGGTTTTTGGCGAAAATGCCAGATTTTCACCGCTCATTATCTCAGCGTAGAGGCATCGTAGGGACAAGCGGTTTGTTTTATATTAGCAAGGTAGGACAGCTGATCAAAGAATCGTCAAAATAAAACGGGCAAAGTTTATTAATTCGACTAATACTGCAGCATGGTTTCAGCATTTCACCGTTGTATGCGCTCCTTCTTAATACGCTCAGATTGGTAATATGCATATGTCCACCATAGTACCAAATACAATATTATACTGTGAACCTGAGTAATTTCAACAAATAATCAAAAGTACATAATGATCAAAAAGACATTTTTCTTATAATTCAACTGGAACTGTACTACATAAATATATTGTTTACTATTATGAAATAGAATGAGTCTTTGCATCAACTGAAAACAGTATAAAATATGTCTCACTTTTCATTACCCCAAAAATATACCCGCTACAAGGTCGAGACTATTGTGCTAACTCAATATTGCAAGAGAAATGTTTTGTACATAAACCTTATCTGCAGAAAATGCACATCAGTAATATCTTTTTATACCTGTTTCTAAATCTATAGCAAAAGACAAATGGGCAAAAATTTCCTAAAACTAAGACAAGGTTTATGTAATAGAAACCAGGATCGTTAATTCATTCACGCATACTGTACGAGTATAAACTAAGTGAAGTATACTGTTTGCATGTTGAACAACCTGCAAAACTTTGAGAAAGTCTAAGAAAGTACTGTAAAAGTTTTCACCATGAAACATCATGATCAGAACCTTAGAGTTTTACTACGTGAAAACCCACACATAGGGGGGACATTAGGAGTACAATTATAACGCATCATGTATGCATGATGCATTTAACACTACTATTCATAACCCCTTAACAAACGTCTTATTAATTTACCTCTGGTGATAGAATGCGATCCAACATCAATAATGGTGCGATTACAAGAATTGAAGCCCTGACCTTCGCTGACCCTGTCGAGCTGCTTACGATTTAGAGATTACGATCTCATAGTTCTTACAGAACGTGTCCGTCCACGGTATGCAGTTGAGGTACTCACAGCCCTTGCAGTCGTAGATCGGGACGACATAGAAGAGCACGATGAGCGCAGCGAGGAGTCCGAGTGCGAGCAGCAGCGACACGACGACCGTTGCTATCTTGCGCCGCCTGTCAAACTCGCCGAACGTGACGTAGGGCAGCAGAGCGAATGACAGCAGCAGGCCGAATGCAAAGCCGAAGATGTGCGCATAGTTGTCGACCCACGGGAAGAGACCGATGACGATGAGCACGAGGAAGATGAGCAGCAGCTTGAGGATGGCGATCCACGGATGCAGCAGCAGCTGCCAGCTCTGAAACACTTCGACGAAGAGCATGCCGAGCAGACCAAGCTGCGATCCGGCCGGCCCCACCTGCAACGACGCAGCAGCAGACAAGCATGTGTTAGGGTGCAAGACTGGGATAGATACTGAGTATGTAGAACCTGCCGACCATGAAGCACTCACAGATGGGCATGTGTTAGGGTGCAAGACTGAGATAGATACTGAGTATGTAGAACCTGCCCACAACGAAGTACTCACAGATGGGCATGTGTTAGGGTGCAAGACTGGGATAGATACTGAGAATGTAGAACCTGCCCACCACGAAGCACTCACAGATGAGCGTGTGCTAGGGTGCAAGATTGAGATAGATACTGAGAATGTAGAACCTGCCCACCACGAAGCACTCACAGATGGGCGTGGGTTAGGGTGCAAGATTGAGATAGATACTGAGAATGTAGAACCTGCCCACAACGACTCAGAGATGAGCATGTGTTAGGGTTAAGACTGAGATAGATACTGAGAATGTAGACTCTACCCACAACGACTCACAGATGGGCATGTGTTAGGGTGAAGACTAAGATCGATACTGTGAATGTAGAACCTGCCCACAATGAAGCACTCAAAGACAAGCATGTCGTTTTTAAATGTGGCCGAGATGTAAACTGAGAATACGGAACCCACCCACAAAGACGAATCCATAGATGGGCATGTGTCATTTAAGGAAAGTGTGTGGCTGAGATGTAAACTGAAAATACGGAAACCACCAACAATGACGAATTCATAAACGAGTGTGCCGTTCAAGGAAAATGCGAGGGTGAGAGAGATACCGAGAATATGGAACCCACCCACAACAGTGCTCACAGATCAACGATCCATGTTTCCAAAACAGACCCTCATGAAGTGGATTGTGAGTTTTAGGAAATAAAAGTGAAAGTGTCAATGACACTGTTGCTCACCACAAAAAAGGACACAAATGAGTGAGTAAGAAGAAGTCAGTTTTAATTGAGCAACCATCGACGTACATTATAGAAACGATTGCCATCTGTATATCGCAATAATAATTTATAAACCAAAATGAATCACAATTTGTGACCGTAGATGGCGCTATACCCGATTTGTTGCGATGGCGCTATACCCGCTTTGTTGCGATGGCGTTTGAAATAAATAGGTTATGCTGCGTTCCGACATGTTTTGTAAAACTTTACTCTAATATAGACGTTTTATTGGCAGGGTGGAGAGGAAATACCAATTTTGCATTAAAGATATTGTCAATGAAATTTTGTAAAACGAACCAGACGAGTGTGACACCACAAACTGTTTGTGTCTATATAATATGCTACATAATTGCATCTATATAATTGAGCAAAATCCGTTGAACCTGAACTGACTAATGGCAATTCCCATTTTTCAAAATAGGACGTTCAATATGGGAGCATAGCAGGAACAACTATACCCAATTTCAAACATGTGGGCCAAACGGTTCCTGAGTTATCGTTGACCGTAGCGAAATGTTGACGGACGGACGGACGGACGGACGGACGTACGATGGACGACGACCCATGGCAATAGCTCAGCTTGACGATGTCAAGGTGAGCTAAGAATTGAATGAATGAATGAAATGCGCCGATTCTGATATAAAGCATCCAGTAACCGACCTTTTAAAATTGAATATACGCTACCTCTGCACGATCGGGGAGAAATATCGCACTGGCCATGTTGCCGACGATGCCGCTGCTGATGTATATGATGCCGATACGCACTGGACCAGCCATCTTCTCGAGATCTCTCATGAGAAATATGTGCAGAATAACTGTCAGCACACAGTGCACGACCCTACAACAGCAATGATACTGCAACAACTGCCACTCATTTAAACAAACAACATTAATGCCCATTCAGTGCTAGTGGGTTCAGGATAATAACACGGTCATGCCATTATGCAGTACAATCTAGCTTTCTTGCAGAATGATTAGACAGAAAGTGTAAATTGGGTGAATAAGTTTCAATTTAAATACTCACCCTGCATGCAGAAATATCGACGTCCACAGCCTGTAAAATTGGTCAGGGTAGTCTGGGTTTGCAAACGATATCATGCCACAGACCTCATCCATACATGAAACCTAAAAATAAAAAGAGGCAGTGCTTACATCAAACGTAATACAAGGCTACTTCATTTATTATGAGCGAATGTGCATACTGATTAGTTGAATAAATAGTACAGTATGTATCAAGGGGATTAGCTTCTCATGATGCCAACTAACCTGTAGCACATCACCAGATGCTGGCAGTGTTTACCTGTGAGCATAGCGTTGCCTCTTCATGAAAATATCCGTTGACGAAATCACAGTAAGGGCGAGTCGTTATAATACAGCTGCCCTTGATGCCGATGCAACATGGCCGCCCGATGGGATCACACGACATGTGTTCTAAACCCTTGGTTGTTCCCTCCGGCTTCACCACTTTTTTGCAAATCTACAATTAATTTGCACACACTAATAGGACAATAGTATTTTCATGAAAATATAAATGAACTAATTAAGAAATTCAAAGCGCAGATGCTTGTGTATACACAGTTCGACCAAGTGTATGCTGTATATAATAAGCTATCACAGTATCACTGTCTCATTGTCAGAGTTCTTGCAGCCAGTGCTAGCATTCAATAAGGTAAATCTTAATCGATGCTCACATGACACTTACCGGCCAAGCAGTGATATCATCCTTCCAGGCGTGAGCTCCGGCAGATGCTGGACTCTCGCAATGCCGTGGATCCTGCCCACAGACGGAGCCACTGCTGCGTCCACCAGGGCCTGCCCCATTCTCCCAAGTGTACCATATTGAAAAGACATCCTGCAATGTATCCATTAATTACCTTTCATGATATTATATATATATATATGGTATGTTTCAACCTGAGAATGCTTGGGGATTCTAATAATATCTGTAGTGGGAGGTCCCTAAGACTACGACTAAAGTTTATTGCCATTTGTCAACTACCTCAAAATGATGAGCCATATTCATCGATTGATTATATATATATATATTATACATCAACTCATTCTAGACACAAAACCACCAAAAACAGCCATAAAACACACACAAAATAACACTTTTTTCTTGTTTTCCTATTATACACTATGTATTATTAGCTCTTGATATAATATATACAGTGAGAGTGAGAGAGAGAGTCAGAGAGAGAGAGAGAGAGAGAGAGAGGGGAGACGAGGGCGAGAGAGATGAAAGAGAGAGAGAGAGAGAGAGAGAGAGCAGCGAGAGAGGGAGGAGAGAGAGAGAGAGAGAGGACTGTGAGGAGAGGAGGAGAGAGAGATGACGAGAGCAGAGAGAGAGTAGAGAGAGAGCAGACCAGAAGAGAGAGAGAGAGAGACTGTTTCTCCAGGAGACCTCTCACACCATCAACGTCGCACCGAGCCCTCTATCCTCGTTCATTTTCCTACTCCTCCCCCCTGACATACCTTGCGTTCTCTCTATCCTCAGCACAGTCCAACGTTCCGGACACTGCAGTCGGCCTTCTCCCGTGGGCCTCACTCCTCTTACTACCCCCGCCACTCCTCATTCCCATGTACCTTACATTCCCACCGAGACTCCTCCTTTATCACCTCTCATCCATGATCCCGACCCTTTGTACCTTCGAGAGAGAGAGAGAGACTTGAAACTAACTGACACACAGGTGTCATAGCCAGCCACGTGTTCAATGGGAGAATATTACTGGTCAAGAAATTATGAAGAAATTGAATACAGATAAGTAGCGTAAATCAGAGTAAATCAGCGATGCTTACGTTGCATTCACTCCTCGTTGACTGTATGCAGCCGCTACCGTCGTTGCGAATGCAGCAGGCAGATCCTCTCTCGATTGCGCGCTCCGCGTATATGACATCCCACGTCGGCTTGTCTTTGCGCATACATGGCGAATACTTCGCACCCAGATGTATAAGGTCCGCCTTCACACAGAAAGCGACAAATTCCTTTAGGTTCATCGCCGGGTCAGCATTTTGGCTCAACTTTTGTTTTTTAGATATTGAGCCGCGTTGAAAGAGGAAATCATTTACATTCATAATCAAAAAACAGCAAAAAAGTAAAAGTGTAAACAAATAAGTAATATGGTCTTTCTCCGGAACACTTACAGATTTCGGTCCTATCCAGAGATTATCTGGCTCCAAGTAGCCTACTGGCTCGAATGCAAGTGATGGTTTAAACACCTGTCAAATACAGTTGCATTATATCAATTAACATAAGCCGCGTTTACACGTAGTAAGAAATTCGGTATTTAGCGTTCACACGAGGCAAAATGCCGGTCCAAGAAATACGGTATCTAAACAGATCCGGTATTTGTTAAAATACGTGGCTTCCCAGACCCCGAATAATTTGCCGTGCTTGAGAAATACCGGATCTCTTGGACCGCGCATTTCCTCGTGTCAACGCTAAATACCGAATTTCTGAAGCCACGTATTTTATAGACTGGTCCGCGCTCGACTGTTCCAGTGTAATGCGAGTGCAAACCGTGCAACTGTCGAGCACAGACAAGTCTACGCATTTTATCGGCAGTTGGTGCGAATTGCATTGTTTATTTTGCATTGTTTGCTTGATTGTTACTAAAGCAACTCGCAGCTCGCAAATACGGTATTTCTGTAACCGCGAATCAGCGTGTGAACGCTCGGTCGCGTATTTGTCTCAAATTCGGTAATTCATAAGTACGAGGTCTCGTGTGAACGAGGCTACAGTTGATTGGCATTTGGAAGCTCTCTCATTGTAGATTCTATTCTAGTATTTAACCAATTAATGCGTTGCCACACAGATGCGCAGAACTCAGTATTCAGTGTGCACTTACCAGGCTCTCCTTCTGTGTTTGTGAGAAGCCTACTGGTGCCAGTCCATACACAGCTATTGACACAATGCAAACAACTATTTGTACCACTGTCACCCAGTACGTGAAGTACGGCCTAAAGAAGAAGGAAAGGAAATTCCCATAGAGCCATCCACCACAGTCGGTGCCGTCGCAACAAACAATCTACAGTCAAACTAGTGTTAGTGGTCACCTCTCTAGAAGGGACACAGGTCTATAAGCATCACATATCTTTACTGACCCTTATATGCAGATTTGAGTGTAAATCTGTACATGAGTGAATGTGCTCATGCTTGCATGCCATCACAACAGAAGCAGAATTCATCACACAAGAATGAAGTGCGATATTACAATGGCCTAACCGTGATTATTGAACACGGAAATAGAATTTATAGCAGGAGAGGGACGTCATAGATGAGTGGGGTTAGGGTGCCCTAAGACGCTACGACACACTACCTATGATCGCTGAAGTCCTCCAGCTGCTTCTTAACGTCCGAGTTGATGCGGTCTCGCCGTACCTTCCTGTTGAGGAAGCGACCGAGCATGCCCACCCCCAGCTGGCGTCGGTCCGAGTTATCCAACGCCTTGTCAAGAACCTTGTCCCAGATTCGCTGAAGTCCGACAGATGGCTCTGTCGCCATTGGAACTGCCCGCGGGACCGCCATGGGAGCAGCGACCTCTGGTGCCCTTCTTCGCCAAGTTCTCTCCCTACTGTATAATAATAACAATAACAATAATAACAATAATAATAATAATAATATAAGAATTATACTGGACATGCAACTCAAAGGAATATGTGTGTATAATTTGTATGGTAGAAGCAATTTGTATGTATATAGAACAAAACCTGGCTACTAGTGCCGTTTATAACTGTTATTACTTTAGTAGTTCGGCAATAATTACATAGTACACTAGTTTCCGAAGTAACTGCAGTGTCCAGGATGCCACTTCTCCATTCACGTGCCATAAGAAAATCAAACTCTTGCATCAAAGAGCTCTGATAGACTTCATCTCTCATACAGATCGTGGACATTGCCAAGTACTGAAGTAGTTCTCTGTCACTCTCTCCACGCTTGGAATACCATCTCACCTGCTATCAGGCTCATCCCTACGCCTCCAGATCGGTTCCGGTTTGTATTCCACTTCCGGAATATCTGGATATAATCTGGAGGAAACGGGGACGGGCGCTGGCAGGACAACCGGAATACCGCCCTCTTCTGGCAGATCGGATAAGCGTGGTTTCGGAAACGTCGGGAAACGCATGGCGGCCGCAACTGTCGGACTTGGCGTCGCAACGTCGAAGAAAACGTCGTCGACAAGGCTGCTAGAGTCGTAATCGATGGCGGGAGTCTGTCGGGTGGAAAATTACATGTACAACGTACGCATTATACACAGATGTATACACATTGTAATACATGTATGTACAATTGTACATCACCGAGTCAGCAATATGCCCCACTGTATGATTAAAGTATCACGTCGAGTTAAACATATGCCACAGCTTAGCCCGCTCTCTTGTTTTGTTTTTAAGTGAATTTCTAAAATTTATACTAACAAATCTCTCTTGATCTCCTAAAATATTATAGGGTAACTGTCATGTCTATGTAATGAATTATATAATGTAATAGTCATCATTGTGTCAATCCTTTACAGTGTTATAGCATCACTCATGTCGCCAAGTTCGTTTGCAAATTATAGATGTGCAGATTGCAGATGTGGCTAATAGCAAGGCTGAAAATATTGCATTATATTATATTTTCTATTGCTGTTTTGTTGAAACAAAGTGATACGTCGGGGTATTATCATTAGAGCATCATAATTATTTTGGTCATAATTATAATTATAATTGTTTTTAGATTTCCTACAGTATAGATTTATACAGGATTAAAAAGCAATTATCATATTTTCTGTAGTACTACACTATATAGCTCATGCATATATCTGTCTACATACATCATACAAGGAATACATACATACATATATAGATTACTATATGGGTATGTTCATGTTGATACTCTGTATAATAGATGTAGAACTGGAACTACAATATTTTGTGACATAGCATAATTGAACAAAATGTGTGACAATTTACTAAATCTACTCACGAGCGGTGCACTGAGAGAGAAAGGTACCTCCATATGCTCAAACTGCTGAAAAGAATGGTAAACCCACACCTATTTGAAGAAAATAACATGCACATGCCTATAACCAAAACCCACACCCAAGAAAATAATGTGCATTCTCTATGCTGTAAATATTCAAATAAACCTAACACACATACAATGCCAATTGTTCATACACAGATAAGGTGTGCAGGTGTGTGATAAAAAGAAGGATAACTTTACTTTAACAAGAGACAAGAGTGCGATCTAAATATTAAATAAAATGTTGCACATTCCATTTGAAAGTCCTGTATCAACATAGAAATTGTGACTAGCAACATAGGCATTGCTCCATTAAAACATACATCCATGCAGGATACAAAGGGTCATACACAAACTGAGAATCAGCTGAAACCCCTGAGAAGAATACCAACACCAATCACATTGCCAATGATGGAAATAGCAGCCCATTCCCTAGTCTATGACTGGTAAATTTTAAGCAAGACTGGTTCAATTTGATAAATTTTACCATAAATTACATACTAGAAACAAAACATGTTTGAAATCAGTACTAGCTGGGTTTTTCACACTTATTTCCAAGACTGACATAGTGATTAAAGTCCACGCTAGCCACACACTGCTTACAGGAGCCGTGGCTGGAGTCGGTGGAACGCTGAAGTCTACGTCTTCGGTCACGCTAGCCGGAGCGAAGCTGCGACTTCGGATGTACTGCGGTGGTTTCTTGTGCTTCTCCGTGCCACGCCTCATCCGGGATGCTGACTGCACGCAAAACATGCCACACTGTCATGTAGCGACTACATCCAAAAGAACTACGTACATGGTCACTATAAAAATGATGAAACAACCTGCCAAAGATGTGATGTCCCATGTTACACACCTAGTCTGTTCAAATGAAGCTACTCACATGGCCAGCAACAAAATGATGAAATAATCTGTCAAACATGTCGACATACGTATGATCTAATCGACTGCCTAAGATTTACCCTCGCCATCGTAGCTAATCCGACAAACGTCATCTTAGCGACAGAGTCTTTGCGCTTTCTTGCAGTGCTCTGCGACGGAAACCTATAGAGGCCCTTTCTCGTGGATGCAGTGCTTGTATCAACGGAGTCTCCCCTCATGGCACCCTGAGGTCGCGCCAACGGATCGTGGATCTGCGGCATCGAGCGAGCGAGATCCACCTCTGTGTGGAACATTCAAAGAAAAGGTTGCAGACCATAGCAAAACTGAGTCGGGTTAACATGCGACAGCACTCGTCATAACAAATCACCTACCCGTCTGAGCATGCAACCACGTCGGCCTTGGAAATTGTTACTAGACCAGCCTATATACGTTTTTCATGTGTGCACGCAAAACTGGTGACTATGCGGTGCTTTGCTGTCAAGCATTGTATTTTAGAGCATACAATATCGATTTGATAGAGCTGCCATATAGGTCGGTGTAAGTTAGCACGACAGGGACTTACGTTGAAGCCGTTCCTCACTCATGCACTCTGGCTTCAATGGACCACATCGTTTTGATGCCAGCCGCAGCCGTCTCTGGTAGTACTTGGCCAGTGGATCGACATCCGCACGCACCCCGAAGAACTCAGCCGTCCCAGTCTTCACATAGCTGTAGGGCAAGGGTGAAGGAGGAGGTGAGGAGATGCGCTCTATATCAATTAACTCTAGCTCAACTCTATATAATCTATCAAAACTTTAGTTTGTCTCTTATTCAACACTATCTCAACACAAGCTCGTCTCTTGCGTAACCCTATATATCCACTGTAATTCGACGCGAGTTCAGCCCTATCCCAACTCTGTTATTTTAGCAGTGCAACTACAGGACTGACTACCTTTTCCACGTGTTGTTACATAGTTGTGGCGAGGAACGATTTGCACACACAAGCACGCATACTTTTATGATGGTCACAGAATATTTTATGCAGAAAATGAGGCACACGGAATTGACACGTGCCAAAAATCAGACAATCAGTTTTACATACAATGAACATTCCATCATAAAAACATGACGAACTATAATGAGCAAAATGTCCTTCTGGCCTTAAACGTTGCATAAAATTCCTATTACACTTGATTACTTAGACCTGACCATGCAGAAGGTATGTGATAATTATGATAGTATTTAGCATGAACATATTTTAGGTCTGCTCTTATTGATCAGTTGGCCGACTGCCCCTGCCTTTAAATAACACGTGCTGTAGCATGTACATAAAATATTTATTCTTGTAGTTCATATATTCATTGTGATGCACGAAGGATACTGTTTTTAGCAGCCATGCACACACGTATAATCAAGGCAAAAAGATACGTTTGTTTACAGTGCCTGTAGTGAGGTCAGGCTAAAACAATCAAAATCAACATAAATTTAACCACCCTGTAAGTATAACCCTGTAAGAAAATCCTAGCTGTATAATACCACGAAACCCAAAACGTTGCTCTAAGCTTTAAAACTGCACATAATGCTCTTATATAGTTTTATTGCACTTCACCAATTAAGTTTAGCACTACCCCATTACGTGATTAAAGTGGTACAGCAAAATTTCCCAGAACACATTAAACCACATAAAAATGGTTATTACTTTTCATCAATAATGCAATCCTGACTAAAGTTAGATGGTTCAGGTAACTCAGTATGTATTAAGTTTAGGCTTTATGCGTGGAGCTTCTCTACTAATATTCTACATTACGTACATGTAGATTACGTACGAGAAACCCCAGAAACATAAATGAAAGTGTCAATGACACTATAGCTCACCACAAAAAAAGTACACAAATGAGCGAGTGCCAACAAGTCATTTTTAATTCAGCAACTATCCACCTACATTATATAAAACAAGAGTATATATGGGAGAACTTCATATATAGCATATCTCCCATTATATACTCTTGATAATTATATATGCGTAAATCGCAAACCCCCCCAAAGAAACTGCAGCAAACACGCAGTTTAGAATGACTCAAAAGTAAGTCGACTGGCGTGCTCTAAAATAGGACGCTGTCATCTCTCCCACAGGAGTAACAACTGTTTTGGGGCTAGCCTTACACATTCACATACCAAAATTTAACAAAATCGAATGAATCTAGATCGCCATTTTCATTTTTGCCAAAAAGTGGGCGTGGCTCGAAAGTAGGTCGACTGGCGTGCTCCAAAATAGGACGTTCAAATCTCTCCTATGGGCGTAACAACTGTATGTAATTTGAAACATGTGGGTCAAACGGTTCTTGAGTTATTGTTGACCGTAGCCAAATGTTGACAGAAATGTTGTAGATTAGGCGCACGAGAAACTCCGGAAACATAAAAAATGCACATGCACTGACTTAGACACAGCGGCACAATTGAGAGACAACATACAGCTACAGTATGATACCGTGAATGACAACTCGTACTTTTTCGCTCGTTCAGTGGCACTCTGTGATCTCTGCATGTCGACTCGTCGGCTCGGAGAGTAACTCACGCTCCTATATGGTAAGGTTGGAAGGCTCTCTGCCTGGTTCATGAGACTCAAATCTACAGCAAAAAAAAACGAATGACTGCCACTTCGAATTCGTGCGTTATATTACCCACGTTCACATGGCAGCAATTTGTCCCGGGTCGAAAACGATCCGAGACTGACCCAAATCAAAAACGACTTGGGTCGATTTTAAAGAGAGCGTTCACACGACGTTTGATCGATCAGTTCTAGCTAGGACATGCCTTGGTAAGCGACTGATGGAAGGACGCCTTCCCAACACTTCGTCCAATTCCTTGAAATAACTGCACGTTGTTTGTGCCCTTCCCGATCTGTTGTTGTTGTCTCCCACCTTCTTATAAGTGTTTCTTAACCGTTTGAGCCGATTATTTACTTGTTGTACAGTTTTAACTATCCCCCGCTCAGCCAGTTTTTCAACAATTTTTTTGTAGGCTAGACGATTTCTCGAAGTTTTTGTTAACTGCGCCTGTATAAAATCCGATCTCGAGAAGAGCGACGTTGTCCTCCCGAGACCACAGTCGATCAACCCCTTCTGCTGCTTTTTTGGGCATTTTGTCGATTTTTTAACTCAAAGAAAATACTGAAAAACGCGAGTGTAGAAACTGCGAAATGCGAACGTAAAGCGGAAGTCGAGACTGACGACATCTACCAACGTACTCATTTTGTCCTGTGTCGTGTTGGTGCACGTTCACATGGGCAAATGGACCAGCGCTCGGGTCAATTTCGTCCCGGATCGTTTTTGTACCCACTCGGTAGTGGGTACAATGAAAGTGTCAATGACACTGCTCACCACAAAAAAGGACACAAATGAGTGAGTGACAAGAAGTCAGTTTTAATTGAGCAACCAGCAACGTACATTATCGAAACGAAGAGTATATATGGGAGAACTCCCATTATATACTCTTAATAATTATGTGTAATTTTTTATGTAAAAATAATAAATAATATTATATATAAATTATAAATAATTTATTAACAAAAATGATCACAATTTGTGCGGTAGAATGGCGCTATACCCGCTCTGATGTTTCTTAGCATAAATTATTATATCATAATAATAATAATATAATAACAAGTGCCGCAGAGCGACAGCGCTCAACTGACGTGTACTGTAGCCGGCTATTCTTCTGATAAACTCACTGGCAACCTAATCCAGTGCACCGTCCCACCACCGCGTTGATAGGCTTTGCTATACCGGTAGTACAGTAATAAAGATATAGCTGTGTAGCTTTAATGACATCGCTATATTAACGTTATCATGGATATGCGTCGAGCGCGAGCGTAGTGGTGGTGGTGGGGGAGAGGGTGGGGGTAGGAGGGTGGGGAGTGGGTGGGGGGAGGGGCAGGTGAAGGGGGCTCTAATAGCAAAAGCAGTTCAGTCCTTTGTTAACAGTCAACAAATCCATGTTTAACCCTCCTCTTGAGGGTACAAAGGTTATCAGACACTTACTCTTCGCACGTCAGTGGAAAGCACATTTCATGGTCCTTTCAATAAAGCCATAAAAATGGTAGGTCACCGCTGAAACCAAAAAAGTTTTCCAATCGCTCTGTCAGACCATTGTCCTCAGAAAATGTCTAAAATCTGCCCTGTGGCCCCATTGACCTTTGACCTTGTGACCTCCAATTTCGGCACAAGTGATGGCTTTTCTTACCATGATGCTATACACTGACTATCACAAGCCTAGGTCAAGCCGTTTCGATTTGTGCCGCAATTCTGCATTTCCTCCCTTACCTATTAAGTTAAGGAGGGAATGTTCCCCTTTCTTTTACACCTCTGACCTTTGACCCCAGCTTCGTCATCCCAACTCGTTTCGGATTACCCCCCCCCCCCACGCCACGTTAAGATTTGTGCCCAAACTGTTGACGCACGGACGGCGATGCACGGACGGACGGACGCACGGCACGGACGCACGCTCATCATGCGATTCTACAAGCTGCATCTGACTATGTCAGATGAGCTAATAATAGTATAAATCATAATATGTTCATAGCAGGAATTTTGCATATTGATATTGTCAATGAAATCTTGTAAAACGAACCAGACGAGTTTGACACCACAGACTGTTTGTTATCTGCGTGTCTATAAATATGCTATATAATTGCCAACAACCCTACTAATTTGCATAATTTTTTTTTTAAATATCAAAAACCCCTAGCCCTTATTCATTCACATACCAAAATGAGCAAAATCCGTTGAACCTGAACTGACTAATGGCAATTCCAATTTTTGGCAAAAAATTGCCGTGGCTCGAAGTACATCGCCTGGCGTGCTCCAAAATAGGACGTTTAATATGGGAGCATAGCAGTAACAACTATACCCAATTTCAAACATGTGGGTCAAACGGTTCCTGAGTTATCGTTGACCGTAGCCAAATGTTGACGAACGGACGGACGGATGAACGTACGACGGACGACGACCCATGGCAATAGCTCAGCTTGACGACGTCAAGGTGAGCTAAAAATGATCCAGGACAAGATCACTTTTGTAGCGAGAAAACGTCCGTGTGAACGCTTGGCCCAGGGCAAATTTAGCCTGGATCGTTTTCGACCCGGGACAAATTACTCCGTGGGAATGAGGCTATTGTCCTATATGGCAGTCTCACACAACAACTAAAACGTGCAATTCCGTAAATTTCCACATCTGAGAAAACCTAGTACCATGTCTAACATTACTTTCAATTATGAATTGCTACGGAATACCATTTATACACTGACCAACACATATTGCATTCACACATTTTTTTCCTATACACTGCTATTCTACATCACACAACCTGAGCTAACAGGCGAATCTATACTTTGTGATCATGTATGTTTGTTTGTTTGTTTGTTTGTGTGTGTGTGTGTGTGTAGTGTGTGTGTGTGTGTGTGTGTGTGTGTGTGTGTGTGTGTGTGTGTGTGTGTGTGTGTGTGTGTGTGTGTGTGTGTGTGCGTGTGCGTATGTTTTGTTTCTGTGTGTTTTTGTTTGTTTGTTTGTGCGGTGTGTGAGTGCGTGTGTGTTTGTGAGAGTGCGTGCGTGTGTGATATATAGGTTTGTGTGTAGGTGTGTAACAAGCTAAATTAATAAAATATAAAGCTATATTAGCTACCTTCACTCAGGAACCTGCGTGGTTCAACAACACGAACTGCCTTGGCTACAGGGTACGCTTGCATCTTTTCACGCTTAGGCATGGTTACATATGTGCAGGCCAAACCATGTATCACAATCAAATCGCAGGCATGCACAGAAATCCCCTATGTACAGGTTTAGGAATCTAACACAACCACACCGATTACTGCCGCTGCACGTGTGACATGTATGAAAAGGACACAGACCCTGATCCGTGCCTTTCACAGCACACATTAAGGTGCCTTTCACAAATAACGGTGTTGACGCGCGCAGAATCCCGCTTCCATGCGGTTTGATGCACAGCCTGCGATACACTGAACGGCATAATCCTATCAACTGCATTAAACCCGCTGAAACTATAATTGACCCAGGAACTAACGCGACACACCCGTTAGTCACAGGCAGAGGATGCTGAGAGTGCTCTATGCTCGCTTTCCTCAACGATTTTCAGCCACCGGATCTAGGAAATATTGCAGGCACGGTACTTGGTGCCATTATCACAGTAAAATAACAGAAAGCAATGAAAGCCCCGTGGAATGACGGTCGATCAATCGTAATACAACTGACGACAGCTCGTTGCATTTACGCCTCCGCAGCAGCACCGGCGCCACGTTTCACCCGAGTTTCACACAGCTTGACAACAACACCCTGTTGTACTATAATGACATTATTAATTACTTATTCATTTCGTTTCTTGACCACTACATTCGAGATACTCTGCAATCGCATCATCTATCCCCTGCACGCATATAACCAATAGATGAGTGAATTACTCTGTTTATTAAATAAACTGAATGATTAGAATGCGTGCAATTTGATTAACTCGAGCTCACAGGAAATGCCTTTTAGCACGTTGTAAATTTGAATACAGAATGCAGATAAAAATCGCTACACACAGGCTCTTACATAATCTAAAGAAGTAATCTTGCATGATAGTGCTCACGCATTGCAAAGCACAATGAGCAATTTATTTGATTATGACAAATTTTATTTTATGATGATAAACCAAGTTAATTCTTGTTACTAGACATAGTTGTGCTTTCTACATTGCCTGCCTTGACGTAGTGTACCAATGTATTTTGTCACTAACTTTTATGCATCACGAAGGTTAAAATAGATTTACAACTGGAAATAAATGAAGATAAAAAAACAATACAATACAATACAATACTCAACCTACGCACACCCATTTAGTTTTAGTCTCTTGCACTTCTGACCATGTCTGTGCTGTTTTGTAACTATAATAAGAACACCCATGCTAGTTATATTCTCAATAATGGGAGTAGCATTGGCTTTTATATATCTCAATGCTAGCTTAGTTAAACCTATAGACCATGTTGTGGCCAACAGCTATTTGAACACGGACAAAAATGCCAACTACTTTCACTAGTTGGTTGGTGATGTTACGAGCCGACTTAGCCCCGGCGCTGTACCCGTTTACTGTTTATGTATAAACAGGCTTCAAGGCTCCAGAAAAGTTTATAAATAAATGCTCAGTTTGCTTAGCGTGAAACCCACACGGCCCTCCACACGCGCGTGCATCAGAGTTGTACAGGCCACTGTGTATCGCCGACATCAGCAGCCAAGTGACCTTTGCCAACTTAAATACACAATTCATCATAAACATGATGCAACGGATTCGAATTTGCTTGCCAACTCCCAGCTCTTGCAGGTCAGAACAGGAGCGATATATGTCAGAATATCTACAACTAAGTCCTGCGGGAGCATCGTACCATTTCCCTGTAAACTACAGTCAGAGATACTTGTGCCTTCATATACGAGCTTGCGCAATGGTAAAACGACAGGAGACCTATTTCACAACTATGCAAACTTTCTGACAAGCGAACCCATTGATTTGTTTATTTCCCCATCAGCAGTGGCACCAAGAGCAGGATGTACCAAGCCAGTTACACCCAAACACTTTTCATAACGCAATGTACAGTTTGTCACACGAGAGTAAATTTAGCTCACGTAAGCAAACTCCTACGTGCCCTCGTAAAATTTTGCAATTCTCCGCGTCTTACCTAAAGGGCGATTCCACACGTGTCGGACGGGATATTTTGATGGGTTATTTAAGAATTTTTTTACAGTTGTTCATGTCAGATTTTAGAAATATATCTAACAAAAGGCCTATATAAACATTATATCATGTATTTAAATTGCAACTTGAAAACAATCACTCAATATTTGTTTGAACTAAGAGAACCACACATAAAGTAATGTGTTGGACGGAACACCAAGTGGACATACAATTTTTACATCAGAAGATATACTGAAACTAGCTATGGACTGTAGAAATATCCAATCTATATAAATGACAGCTATTTATAAGTTGGACCCAAAATCAAAATTAAGAAAAAACTCACTTTCCTCTAGAAGAATGCTAGCCAAAATTTAGTTTTCCATAGAAGCTTTATGTTTTCTATGTAAAATGCTTAGCAAGGTGTACGGCATGCTTTCTCACACTTTCACGGGCATCAGTACCTTATATATTAGATCAAGAGCGTATAATAGAGAGCTCTCTATTATGAGCTCTTGATTAGATACATAATGCCACAATTCGACCCAGGCTGAAAAGTTTGGGTAGGTAGGTTGGCTTTTTTTCTCTTTTTTTTTGAAGGGGGTCTTTTTACAAATTCAGCACGGACGATGATGGTGTCTACATGCTCGGGTGTGCTTGTGTGGAGATACCTTTTATGTTGAATGTTTGTTTTTCTTAGTACATATAATGTATTGCCTACAGATTTATATAACGTACAGAGTGATACAATTTGTAAAAAAAAAAGAATGGGAAAGATTGATCAATAAAACTTTTTGAGTTGGCCCCTTTTTGGTGGGTCGGCGGTCGGGTGAGGGCAAACAAACAATATTTTTATCATGGCCTAATCAATAAACAAGAACTGAACTATACAATACTAACTTGAACCAATTTTACATTTAATAGTATGCCACAAGAATACCACCTGAGCAATGAATTCTCAATCAATGAGGATGGAACGTGCACTTAATTTAGAAACATTATTGCTAGTGAAGCCACTCAAGACACCTGTATATATTCTTAGCTACCAATATCCTAACTTCCATGCAAACCACTGCAAATAATACATGCTATTTCTGTGATGAAGCCCACAAAATGAGCACAAGGTGTTGATGCGTGTACAGTGGTTTAGAGCAACAACCTTACTAACCACTACACCAATGTGTGAAACATGAATGAACACTTGCACAACCAATGCGAGTATACTAACTTGAACCAATTTTACATTTAATAGTATGCCACAAAGAGGAATATTGTTTTACTTGGCTGCAGGCACCCCCTACTGCAAGAAAGCATGTGAAATTTGTAGTTTCAAATAGCTGTGCATACGGACTATATGTACTTGCGTGAATTCACAATACAAGGTCTACTACATTACAGGGAACCACCGATAGGTGCATGATTATTTCATTGTTATATCATTGTTATATTAATAGGGATTTCATTAACTTAAATTTAAGTCATTTTTAGTTATTTAAACACCGTATGACATCAAGGTAATCCTCCTGTGTGTTGCAAAACTGTTGTTATTAATTACCAAAATACTATGCATTTAGTTATACAACGAAGTTCAGCATACCAAACTCAGTTGAGAAGGTCGTATTAAAATGCAGTATACATCAATGACAGAAAATAGCTGCTAATTACTTTTGCTACAAGCAAATGGAACACATGGAATCTGCACCACTTTAAGACAGAGGTGATCAAACATTTATAACATGTCCTAGGTACATATGTACCTCCAAGAAATCGGCATACACTCAAAGACCATTTCAAATTCTTGCTACAGTACACAAAGGCTTATAGTTGATTCAATCACTGAACATTCCCACAGCTCGCGTAACATGTGATAAACTAAATGACTCAATAAACCTCTAGCTTGTTCACAGTACTGAGCACTACTGGGCCCCGTTTTCATTATATGGTATTTTTAGAAGTAAATGAAAACAACGAAATCGGTGCTATTTGCCCCCAGCTTGGTTCGACTACAATCGGAAATAGGCTGACACTGGATTTTAGGACAATGCAAACATGTGGCGTCACCATGTAACTAGAATTTCAGTTTCAAGTCTCTAACCCTTATCGTTTCGGATTTTCTACATCCCAATCAATCGATGCGATTGATGGGGATTTTATCTATGCTGTTTGTCACAAGAAACGATGGCTAAAACCACAGGCACTTGAAGCGTTTCAATAAAATATAATCAGGAGTCTATCAATACCGACTATATATTGATAGACTCCTGATATAATGCTAAATAAATACGTAATCTATTTACTACCAAATGCTTAATGTTTCTATACTCTCTTTCACCTATTATTGCCGACAGTTTCCTGTAAATTCCGTCCAAATCATATGTGAAACATACGCTGCCGGCTGCCATTGCTCTCGCGGCTGCACTGTGCACACTTACACTTATATATATAGTATATATAATATATATATAACTAGAGCACTTGGAGAACACAGACCTCTGCCAACGCAGCTCAATTCTCTCACTGTGGAAAATTTCATTAATTAATTAATTAATTAAATAATTAATTGGATCCGGATCACCACCAATATCTCATCAATTCTAAGTTAGGCGATTTCTGACCTATCCTGGAAATTTTATGACAATCCGTCAATAACTTTTCAGTTAGGCTGTACACGCACAAACCAACAAACACACACCGGTGAAAACATAACCTCCTGCCAACCCCTTGGCGGAGGTAATAATATCAGGAGCTAATAATGACAATTTGTCATTATTAGCTCCTGATAATATATATATATATATATATATAATATATATTATACTATATATATATAAGTGTAAGTGTGCACAGTGCAGCCGCGAGAGCAATGGCAGCCGGCAGCGTATGTTTCACATAGCATTTGAACGGAATTTACAGGAAACTGG